GACCCACCGGGCGTGGAAAGGGGCGGAGCACTCGTTTGGTCGGGAGTGCGGAGTTCGAACCGCGACCTCAGTATTGTGAGTCGAGCGCCTTATCACCTGGCCATGCCGGGCTTGTTTGTTTGTAATTATGCATAAAACTACACAATGGGCTATCTGTGCTAAGCCCACCACGGGTATCGAAACCCGGTTTCTAGCGTTGTAAGTCCGCAGACATACTGCTGTGCCACTGGGAGGCGATTTTTTAAAACTTTCTTCAAAGCATTATGCATTAATATGCTTGTATCTTACGCCTGCCATTATTTGTAATGTCGTATTTTTAAAACCATTTTTCAAAGACTTCAAAATTCTAAGTCTAATACGGAACATCTGTGCTACAATAATTTCATATAGCCTTCAAAAACAGTCAGTTGATCTAAAAAATTATAACACACAATCTACAAGTATTTTCTACTTCCTCATTTAAAAGAAAAATAGTCGTTAAAGATAGTGATTTTTTTTTATCCACGGTTAACCTAACGACATATTAAAACATTAAAGTCTGGGTTAAAGAGAATAAAATACACGAGACAACTTCACGTATCTCAACATTTGACGTGTTGGAGGTATGTGAAGAAATAAAACAATTACTCAAACTTTTTATATCTTTTCGCCCGCCCACATATACTACCCAGTTTCGACACCAAAATATTAGGCTATAATTGGTTTTATCAGTGAAATACTTGTCTCGTTTGTCTACGTCGCGGTGTCATAAAACTAGTGGAATCTCGCTTTCTGTCGCAGTATTAAAATGTGTCGGCTGCAGAGCGCAAACCTACACAGGAAGTTGCTTGTTAGGCCTAACTTGTTACGAAAGTTACGATAAGAGGGGGTAAGCACATAATGATTCAGAGATAAAAAAAAATTCACGGAGAAGAACAAATTAAGTAAACGAAAGGTTGTTGTAGAACACGAGCGTTATTACCCTATTACAGAGACTTGTATAATAAGAGGATTGACAGCGCCTGCTTCGAATGGAGATAACAATATACTGTTGACTGGCACATCGTTTACAGAAAATAAAAAAAAAACTTTAATAGTAAAATCAAAATTATAAAGTGGCGCCCAAATAGCAATTCAGGAAAATACAAAGCTAAGTTTGAGAATATAAATTATATCGAATTATGTATGTATGATGTAGACGCAGAGAGAACAACCTAGATTTAAAGGGAAATAAACTATGTAAGTTTCGCGTCTCGTGGAGAAAGCCTATTTTTTTCCCCCTAAAACAAAATGAGAGCTGAATTGGAAAGAACATTTTTTGAACATGCTTACCTCGTCATGAGTAGTTAGCGTTCAAGTGATTGTGTGTTGTTCTAGACCAACGCGCACCCAAGCAACAGGGTACACAGTGCGAATAATGTTAACAGATAAGTGTGACCTGTAGCATGGCAACAAGCAAAAGTATCGCTCTTTTGGTTATCCAAGAACAGAGAATGGGTGTTTAATGGCGAGTTGGAAGCACATTGAAGATTCATCTGAAAGTAATTGTTAATCAGAAACAGCAAGTTGAAAAATGTACTGTTAAAAGATGATGTCACTACAACACCGAGTACATCTTTACCTAACATGAAAATTACTCCAAGAAATTCACAATATTTTGTATGTAGCATTTAGTTTAGAAAGTAGTTCGATTCTTAATTGTAATCCTACACGATTTCTATAAGGCTTATACAAGAAACCAGCGGATTAATTGAAGTGGGGGTTCCCTGTAAGCAGACTCCACTCCCGTCTCTAAGACATCTTCGTGATGATTGGCTGCTGGTTTCGAAGGTCCAGCCCCTGTAGGCGATGCATATGCAATTAAGACTGGTTTGTATGGCAGTTGATGGCACGGAGACCAGGTAAAAAGAAAAATACTTTCCTTAGTCCCTAGCCACTTTGTAACAGGACTTATGTCAGAAAAATAATATTGACCAGTTATAGATTGCTATGAGAAGTGGATAGTGGTGATATCCTATTAGGATTATGTGAGCTTATAATTCTACTGGTCAGCGTTTATGAAACTGTACGTTTCTTCAATTGTGTACATTGTGGATTCGCCTTCACTTTGACGGAAACAGTTGACATCATACAGGTAGTAGTAACAGGCTTGAGTCACTGTCACCTCAGGCTTGTCCAATCATAGCGTCGAATCACACGTTACTGAAATGCACGCTCACTGATTAGAAATCTGAATTCATTCGGCTCCTTTCATGTCCCAAAACGTCACTTACAGAAGTCTTGTATTAGTCCATGCTGACTAAGTCCAACAAGACAAGAAGGGTGTAGGTAGGGGGCGCTAGGAAGGACTCGACACGTCTTTATCTACAGATGGGCACTTCTGATCAAACAGTGAGAAGTATTAGCGCGTGCATGGGTTGCACGCAGTGACAAGTCCACGTGTGATTATGGCTTTATTTCCATTGAGAATCAAACCTTGGCGTGGGTGGATATATGTTGTTTGAGCTGGTTTACCTCTGTACGAAATCATGTTTACTAAACAACCACGGTCTACATGGCCATTCTCACGGGTCTCTGCCCGGTTTCAACACCGACGAATGCGTCTGACTTTTGCAGTACTTCTTCTGTTTTTGATACGGTCCGGGGCAGGGTGCGGGCCCGGTCGTGGTAGTGGCATTAGACGGCCCCCCCGCAAGCTCACGCCGTTGGTCTTCAAGCAGCATGTCCCTAATGTAGCGGAGAAGACCCTAGCGGCTAGCGGACTTGTGGAAGGAAGGCTTGGACGAGATGACCAGCGATTTCAAGAATTAGTGCCTAATTACAACTCGGATATCATATTTAAAGACGAAGAAGGGACTGGAGCTGACCGACTTATGACTCAGGTATGTCTACTCTAAAGTGTTGAACATATAGCTGTGACATTACTGAAAACAAGGGTTAGCACAGTAACAAAAACAATCACGGGTTCTTTATTTTCCAATATATTGCTTTCAGCTTCCTTGAAATCAAAGATAGTTAGTATTCGTAATATAGATATTGATCTGACCCACACCTCTGAAACATTTCCTGGGTGTGAAATATCCCATTTTGAAGCTCTATGCAATACAGATCATACTGGTGTAAAACTGTACGAGTCAATTTTATTGCTGTAGTTTCACATTAAAAAAAAAGCAATGATATCCCTCACGCCCCGTCACCAGTAACAGTATTTCTGTAACCGTTTTACGATGTACAACAGCTACCATTATTACACAAGTTACTTTTAATATACTCGATTATTGTCTACTTTATTACTTTTAATATACTCGATTATTGTCTACTTTATTACTTTTAATATACTCGATTATTGTCTACTTTATTATTTTTAATATACTCGACTATTATCGACTTTATTACTTTTAATATACTCGATTATCGTCTACTTTATTACTTTTAATATACTCGATTATTGCCTACTTTATTACTTTTAATATACTCGATTATTGTATATTTTATTACTTTTAATATACTCGATTATCGTCTACTTTATTAGTTTTAATATACTCGATTATTGCCTACTTTATTACTTTAACATACTCGATTATTGTCTACTTTATTAGAAACTCGTTGATCTGTAAACTTACTTTTGTACTGTTTTGTAAATCAGTGAAGACATTTAAATATTATTCCACGTAAGTTACTATGTCAATGTGTGTGTATAGCATCGCATTAGAAACTCTGCTTCTTCTGGTTTTCTAATCAGAAAATATCAACTAAAATTTATACCAGTAACTTGTTTTATCTCGATTGTCATACTGTTTAAGCCTCGAAAGACATGTTAAAAACTGGAATTAATTGTTTTGTAAATAGTTCACCTCAAATTACAAGTGTACCTTCAGATTTTCACCAAAAGCCTGTAAGACGAACAGGAAAGTTCTGTTAAAATATGTTTATAATTTTTCTTTGATTTCCAGAGGTGTTTCTCGTATAAAATTATGACATATTCACAAGACACAATAGTTTCTATACCAGCCACTTGTACTTTACAGAAACATATTACTTACACACATTAGAGTAATGAGCGAAGTTTGATTTCCGCACGTTTCCCAAGAGTTAATTCAGTTTTTATAAATCGGAAAGGTTAGACCACTCAGAAATTAAAAATTAAAAAAAAATCAATCATGTTAAAATCACTGATAACTGTAAAGGTGAGATTAGTGATGTGAAAATGAACAAAGAAAACACTCATACTCATACGTATTATTCATGACTTCTTACGAGCAGCAATAATGAAAACAATATCGTTATAGCAAATTACAGCAAAGTTAAACATGCGAAGAGCATACAGTGGTTATATGTAAATCTACATGTAAATCAAACAGTAGGAATGAATATTGTATATGCAACATACACATATTGGAGTTATATTTTAAGCAGTGGATTTTTAAATACCTGGGAAGACGAATTACTGAGACTGTAATATTATACACATGATGTTGTTTTTAAACAATATCAACAACATTGAGCTTCATGGTAGTGGAATTTTAACACTTACATATAAATATGTGTGTGTGATTGTGAAATTATACACCCGTTATGAACAAAAAAATGCTTAAGATGAGGATTATTTAAATATAGATTATATTGCCCCCTTCATTTATCTTATTTAAAGGCAATATATCATTAAACCACGAAATTCAATTGCCTCTCACTCAATTGCCTTTTATTTAACCTTGCATAGTAACCCCCCACACACATTATGCATTTCAATCACACTTCTAAAGGGTATCGTACGTGAGAAGCTTGTTAAAGGTTTGTCAGGTTGTTTTGTTAGTTTTAATTAAAGCGTTTCGAAAGTAAAATAAGTTGTTATTAAGTAATAACGTTGAGTGGCATCATCTGCCAAGTTATGTACATGCATACATATGTTTACTTGTAAACAGGTAATGTGGGCATGGACAACTTTATTACATAACATATCGTTCCCCTTGCGATTAAAACCTACGCCTTAAACTCATCAAATAGTCGCATTCTCCAAATGATTTCGCACCGGATATCACAAATAAAGATATACACAACAAAATGTTTCGCTATTGATTTCGTGGATGAATGTGTTCTGGAACCCACTGCAATATACTGAACGTTATATTATCCTGATGAAACAAATAAGTACAAATTTGTCTGTTCATAAATCTAAATGGTCCAAAACGTCCTCCGTACTTCGGATTTTGAACATTTTTTGTTGTATGCATGACAGGGGGCATCAAGAAATTGAAAATTCTTAGGATTTGTTTTTGACAATGAACGAACTCTTATTTTTCATCACAAAATCGTGTGCATTTTATTACGCTTCGTTTTGAGACCCGCTGATTAAGTTTACTTTGTTATTTTGGATCAGTGTCTTATATATACTGCTGGTTTATAAGGTGTTCTTACATTCACTTTATCCGCTCCTCCTCTCAGTGGCTCGGCGGTTGTGCAGACTTACGACACTAAAAATCGGGTTTCGATATCCGTGGGTACAGCATAATTAGCCCATCGTGTAACTTTGTGCTTAACAACAACAACAATACTTTATCGGTCTTTACTTACAACTTTAAAAAAAATCGTAAAATTTTGTAAAAATTACTGTTATCTTTCAAGGACCCAAACATTTTCCCCCTTTAAATTCTGTTATTTGTTTATTCCACGTAGAAAAATGTTAAATTTGTTTTACAAGTTATCCAATTATTTCAAAAATTTGAGACTGTTGCATTTCTTTCTCAGGTGGTATAAAGCCATTGTAATAAGAAAACATTACTAATAGAAGGCTTTTAAAATAGTTAAAATATTAATGTTTCCTAATATAAGTTGTAAAAAAAAAAGGTAATTTGTTGACTAAATACAGAAAACGCACAAACATTATATATATATACTTATCAATATTGTTTACAACACCCTACCTTAAAGTTTTTCATTGTTAATTTCAGGTGATTCCCCTCAATTTATTACATACATTGTTAACTCATCCTTACAGCCGTAGAAAAGGGGTTAGTTATATTATAACTTACTAGGTGACACGTCCGTGAAAACAGTGATTACACCAACTCATTGTGCGCGTCGTCATTAACACTTAACCCTGCCACAGTTTTAAGCGTCATTAGTTTTTCTAGCTTGGTGCTGCTTTCGAATAGAAAGAGACTCGGGATCTTCCGCCTGTGGTTAGACTGGTTTCGCAATAAAGACACAGTGAGCGAATTTTAACATTAATTGTGAATGTGTTTATTATTTATACACAATGCTACCTTTCTCTTTCGGTCGAACTTACACCACGCAGAGTTCGAAATGGTCACTTTTCTGCATGCTATAGCTGGTTGGTAAGTAAAGAAATTTACGACTGTTTATTATCAGATAAAAGGAACAATATAGAGAGCATATTAAATGCTTATATTAGGTATATGTTATGGTAATTTACCAAAGGATTTAATTAATTACTTTTAAAACTAGTTTTGGTGTTGGTGCCTTACTTACTGAAGTATTATTTGTTACACGCGTTTCTTATATTTCTTTTCAATCCGTTTTGAAGATTGAAATTATTGGAAGATTGCATACTGGTACTTATAGCAGATTAAAGATGGACATTTTACACTGCATGTCTAATAGGCTCGTTAAACATAACGGTGATTTTTGTTGTGAATTGACACGCTTCGGTTCGTGTAACGGACGAACATTTGGGTTGTATAAATCCTTCCTCGATTATCTAGATCTCTCCAGAAGTACCCCATGAAAACATACAGCTTGAATGTGTTTTATTGACTTCGCATGGCCTGTTGGTTGGAGCGCTTGACTCGCAATCTACTGGTCGCGAGTTCGAATCTCATCACCGAACATGCTCGGCCTTTGAACCTCGGGGGTGTTATAATGTAATGGTCAATCCCAATATTCGCTTAGAGTAATCCAAGAGTTGGCAGTGGATGGTGTTGATTTGCTGCCTTTCCTTTAAGTCTATTACTTCTATATTGCGGACGGCTAGTGCAGATAGCTCTCGAGCAGCTTTGAGCGAAATTTAACAAACAAATGTATTCTTCTTTGTTCTCGCTCGTACGTTCTTAGAATTACACTAGATAATCACTAAATCTGTTCAAAGATCTTGAATTTGTCTTTATTGCAGGCTATGTATGCAAAATAATTTTTGCGATTTCTGAACTACATTTCTAAAAGCAGCGTAATATTTTACAAGACGTTAATCGCGTTTATAAGAGCAATTTCTATACTAATACAGTAGTGTATTGCCACAGGTGCGAGCCATGACTCCAATGAACATGTCTGTCACTTGTATATATTTCATTCATGACATATTTTCGACCATTAGACAGTGCCATGCCACCAGATAAATTTATAATTGGAGAAACATGTGACTGCACTTTTCGAAGAGATATACTTATACAGCGAGATTTTTTAACGATGTAGAACCACAGGTCACAACGCTTAGAAGTGAAAGCACTCTCGCAGTAGAGTCTTCAGAACAGCAACGGCTTTGAAACTACCCTCAGCTAATCTATAGAAGTACTTTCAACTGCACAGTGAAAGCTACTGATACGAAAGAGAACCTTTCGACCGTTAAGGAGTTGTTCTGATGAATTTGGACATAACTTCTTGCATATTTAACAAGACAATAGGTAAATATTTGAAGTTGTCTGATATATACAAGCTAAAAGTTTCCCACCGCACATCGAATGTGTTCATAAAGAAGAAAAAAAAATGAATGAAGAAACTGGATTTACAATCATTCCGTTCGACAGCATACTTGTCAAATTGCAAGATGCATCTCCAATGGAAGTTAGTACGTTTAGTCTGCGTAAACGAGATCTTAGAAGTTGACTTTCACGAATAGTGGAAGGTTTGTGGAAAGTAAGCTAACGTC